CGTGTGTGTGTGTGTGTGTGCGTGTGTGTGTCCGACCTGAAATTCATAACTCCTGTCCCCGTGCACCTAGAGCGTTCAAACTTGGTAGGAGCATAAGGGACAGGATGGGAACACTCATGACAGGTGACAGAATCGAACTCCGCCTACTGGAGGCGGGGAGTGCGCGATAGAAATTTTGGGCCGCAAATTTGTTACTCCTGTCCCCGTGCACCCAAAGCCTTCAGAATTGGTAGGATTACACTTTTCGTACGTACGTACTACAATGGAACCTCAGCATTTTGGTAATTGTAGGATATGACGGGATCGTAGGAACTCGGTGGCAGGAGCTGATCATAACTGATAAGAGAAGTTAAGGGACCTCAGAGAGGACACCTACCGATCAAAATCCTGTCTTCGGTATCTACGATGTAGCTTTGACCGTTCAGTATGTTTCATTCGATAAGACGGGATGGTAGAGCAGGGTGACAAAAGTGAGTGGTAAGTGCAGTGATAGGGATCCATGGGGCAATACGATAGGCAGATTAGAAGTTTGTTCATTTGTTACTTTTAGATCACGACCGCTACCCAGCAAGATTTGTGATTCAATGAAGGGTCTTCTCTGGTGGATATCATCTTTGGTCATTTGCACAAAACTTAACCGATCACCAATAATCTGGATTTCTCAACTAGCGATATCTCCATAAAGAAAAGGGTTTATTGATAAAAAATCTGATAAAATCTGATAACGGTGGAATCTGACATCACTCAAAACATCTCCACAGCATCATCTTTGATTGTCTAACAGTTGAATTTTTTATGGGTATTTATTTCTAAGAGAGAGAGAGCAAAAGTTTGAGACTTCCAATCAAAGGCGTAAGTACCGACTTTAACTGAATACCATTTGCGCTGCCCTGCTAGTCCTGCATCAAATTTCGTGTACAGGTAACTGTCATTTGTTTCAAAAAAGGAGTGGAGAGTTATACTTACTAGAACTTTATCAAAGAATTAGGGTAGCTTTCGATTTCTGTTGTGTCAGAGAATGATTTCGAGCTCTGTTTCATTTTCATACTCTCACTCAGCTTAATAGCGGAAAAATTTTAACTCAGCCAAACAGCGGAGAAAAACCTAAAAACTATAAACTTTGAGAAGGGAAAAATCCTCAGTTCAACATTTTTCGGTATAGGGTGATTGACACAAGAAAGGAGAACCTGGCGCTAGCCGGGCTCTCTCCTTCTTGTGTCAAACACCCTATACCGAGAAATGTTGAACTGAGAATTTTTGTATGATTTGTATGTATATGCAGTAGCGGTCGAAAGTCTTGGGTGGAACACTTTTTCAATTGTAACTTTTTTCTGCTTCATCAAATCCCATGAATTTTATGATGTTGATCAAAGACGTTTTAAATATCTATCATAACTAGACTGCTCGCGGTACTGCTTTGCTACCACTTCGTAAGGTTTGACTCCAAGTCAGTCTAAAATGCAGATAGCATTAACCTAAGAAAGACCGTCTTATTTTGGAATCATAAAATGTAGGACACCAAAAACTCAAGTTTTCGGTAAAAAAAAAACCGATCTTGATGACAGCATCGCAACGAGAGGGCATCGGTTCGATTGCTTTTTGAATGGTAAACATTGGCATGGCGTTCCACTTCTTTGCCATTGAGCGAATTTGTTTCTAGGAAGTTTGTTCAAACACTGCCTTTTAGTCTCTCCCCACTTGTGCTTTCCAGGATTCAGACTGGCTTGGCCACTTCAAAAGTCTGTTTCACTGTTTGCTTCACAACCATTGAGAAGTGTTTCGGATCATTATTCTGCTGCTGGATCTATCCTAGTGCCATAAGGTGCTGTAGCCACGGCAAAACGATATCGACCGTCATTATCTTGTAGTACCCCCCTGTTCTGGCGTCGTCATTTTCGAAATAAGGCTCTTTACGTTCGAGGAGGAAGCACCGTATACCACCACACTTCCTCCACAATGCTTGGTTGTGAGTAAGGTGCACTTTGGATCAAACCTTTCTCCAGATGGACGTCATCCGTACCGTAAACCATCGCTTTCAAACATGTTGATCTTACTCTCATCTGTAAGAGGAACTCTACTCCTGCCAGTCGAAGTTAAGTTGAGGTGAGGGTATGCAAACTCCACTCAGACTCCCTATTTTTTAGACTGACGATCGGCTTTTTGGTTGGACGCCTCTCAAACATACCAGCATTATTTACACGTGTTCCTACAGTCCGCCGACCAAAATGGGCCGTCGTTAGCGCTGATTTCAGCCGTAATGTCAGCTGCAGTGAGGCGAGGGCCAGCCCTGGACCGAAGTATGATCCGTCTGTTGTGGGCTGGTGAAGCCGTAGGGGTCTTCTCGTTCTTTCCACATTGCAAACAGAATTTCTGGCCTGTTAGCGCTGTGTAGTCGCAGAACACCCTTGCTGTAGGACGCTCGAAACTCTTGAAATGGCCGTGACTTTCATGCACAATTCCTTCATGTCTGCTGCTACCAGCCGAACTCTCTGAGTGACTCTGTCTTTCTATGCATGCCTTGACTGTACAAGCACTAACGTTGAGCCCAAATGAGATGCAAAAATGCAAATATCGCCAACCTCGTATTCTCAGGAAAAATTGCTTCAGTAGTAAAACCTTTGTACGTAGTTACGTGATCCTCCAGTTTTGAAGACGAAATATTATATAAATTGGTGGAAATTACGCTTGGATAAGGGATTCACCGAAGACTTTTGAGCGCTAGCGGTCGACCGACACCACTCTTTTCACTTCGACAAGTACAGTGAGCCTCCAAAGAAAACATAACCGCCATAAAGTGCATACGCCCCCAGTGGCATGCGCTGTATGCAGGTGAAACCCTACTTGCTCAGATCCATAACCGTTTTCGCTTCATGAGTAGCTCAACACTTCAACTCGTGTGTCAAAAAGCACGGTCGTGGAACTAATTGTTGTACATACCGAATGGTCATAATTCGTTAACTTCGTGGCCTTTGCTTTGATCGCGTATAAGCACTGTCAAAATTAGGCAAACTACAAATATATTCTGCTTTGAAGTATGCTCAGTAGTATTCATTGTAATCATTACCTTACCCTCCACCAACTGCGCTTCGTTTTTCGAGTAAGTGAGGGCGTGAACCACAACTTCTACATTTTTAAACTTTTTGAACTTCAATTTCAAGCGTTAAAATTTTTAGGTCTGCCGATCGCCTCTTTTCCACTGCTCGTCGCTTATTCCGGATCGCCCAACCCAATTCGTGTTCGACGACCATTTGCCCACTCTACTCACACCGCAGCTGCCCAGAAACGACCGACGTGGAAGTGATTCTCGTAAGCGTCTAGATATATGGTATCCTTGGAGACCCCAATTCTGTCCGATTTTCACATGGTCGTCACTTAGTCCTCTAGCTGTAACTCCTTGCAATGCTCGTTAAGTGATCCTTCGTATTTTTCAGAATACCTCGATGTGGAGATAGGGGCTCGAAATTCGTTGTCCGTTCGCGTCCCTGAACGATGCCATTCCGTTCTGCAGACGACAAGAGAGCAGTATCAGCGAAGACTGAAGGAACGAGGCCTAGGCAGGGTAAGTCTGTGAAAGATATACACACATATCGGTATGTTGTCTCGCCATTCTTCCACTCCAATATCAACTTCTAGATGCGATTCCCGCGTATCGATTTGTCAACGTTGGAATCGAGTGGTGGATCAACTCAGGACAGCTCACTCTGACTTTCTAAATCACTTTTACTCGTTTCTGTGCTTGTGAAATATGCTGGGGATGATATCTAGTCTGTTTCACAACCTCTCCTCCACACTCCTTCCGATATGCCCTCTCTTTCCTGTCAAATGCTTAATAGAGGCTACAACTTCACGACTGGATGCGCACTTTTTCAGCGGTCTTTCCCTTCTTGAGAGATGCCATCTCCCGACGTCGACAAAAGTGATAGCGTCACGCCGACGGCTTCAAGTCCTGTGCCTGATTGTATGTATATTGGAATAAAGATTTGATGCTCTCCTGTAAGGAACCGTTAGCGTATGCTCCGAGTCCATCTACCCAGTAGCGAAGACAGGGCTCTGTTGTACTCAGAGAAAATTTATGTTCTGTCAAAACTAACTTTTTTAAAAGCAAGTCTGCTTTTAGGAATATTTCATGGAGATTATTGCTTGCGTGAGAGTCGTGTGAGGATTCCCTGGTGAGATTTTGATGATGAATGACTCCTTTCGTCTTCGCGTGCCCACCATCCACATATCACGCCGATCTCGCTTGTTGAGAGTGGCTACGATGGCTCTCAAGTTATTTTAAACGTGTAACGAGATGGTCATGCATCGGTTCTACTAGGAGGTAGATGATAACTAAAACCTAGTGAATATAGGCTGGAGTCTTGAACTTCCGAGTAGTTAACATGCAGGCATATTCTCATCTCAAGGCAGCACTGGAATACTCTCGAGAATTCACATTGCTTTCTATTCATATGATCTTCCACAATCCGTCAAGAACCAAATTAAAAAGGTAGATTTTGAACTGGTTGTACGCACTGATATGGGTTGGCTCGTATGATCAGCTCTCATCATAATGGTTAGCATGCATAATTCAAGCGATTTTTGATAAAATCCTTTTGTGAGTCTGTTACTTCTGTGGGTCTGGATTACGGACTTTCCTGGGGAGCATTTGAAATGGCGCTGAACTGTAAGCTGGATTAGAATTTTAGCTTGTAGGTGTTCCGCCGAAGAGGAACGCTGTTTCTTGCCATCCTTTTTCAGATGATGCATGTGTTTTTCTTGTTCCGAGCGACCAAGTTTGGCTCGATTAACTTCCTCTTCCTTCAAACAGGAACTATGTCGATGGGCTCAGTTATGTGGTTGCGGTCGCCAAAATCGGGAAATCAACCGTAATGAGCAGCAAATGTCGGTCCAGATAAATGTGGGGCAAGAAAATCATCTGACAAGGAAGATGCCGAGACATGGGCCATCACAGTACATATCTATTTGGCTGTGTGACCTTCAGAGTTGCCTGTTCCATTGCATGATTGATCTTATTGTAAGAAACATTCGACTGGATGTTGTGACTCTGCGGACATGGAGATGTACATTCTGATTGTATCCAGAGAAGGTTAGTCGAAAACAGAGGCAACTTTTTATGCATATCGGTCATTCGTTGTCCACGATATATGCCATCGCTTTGTGAAAACCCTTATGTAAGAGTGTTTTCAAATGACTGTCTCGAGACAAAACTCATCAAACTTGTACCGGTCACCATAGATGGTGTGGATGGAACCGGTTTCACAGTTCTCAGGTAAAAGAAGCTCTGTTCAATAGGCAAAGATTCAAAGTTGAGGCTTCTTGAATGCCATGGTTTTTTGAAGCGTTATCGAGAATGAAATTTCACTTTCTCGCGGAGTAACGCAATCACTTAGGTCAGCCGGAGCACCACGGCTTTTTCCACCGTCATCAGGTGTCTCTTCTGCCTGGACAGCATTTAGCCCCGACCGCTCTCGTTCTTACTGAAAAACATATAGGATCTCATTGCCCAAAATATTTGCTCCATTAGTACCGTTTTTGAAAACGAATGTGAGCTGAAGAATGCCACCGTCGTAACACGGCACTCAGTCGATGGGAATCTCATAGTTGAGCAGTAAAAAGAATTTTCATGTGTTCCTATTGTTGATATCTTGTTTTGTTATTTGGAACAGTGGTTTTGCAACATTGAGACAAATTTTCTCCATAGAGATCTCTCTGTAAGCTTCACGAAACTTCTAAATGGAACTATTTTTATGCGACACATTGTACGAAAGGCAGATCTTGATTCAGAGTGAGGGTGTATGTGCGGCAGCAATAGGAATAGAAAGACGACAAGAACTTTGGTACCACTCGTCCGAACAGATCTCATCCGTTGATGAGCATCCGTCTGTCGCACTACTCAGAGCAATCGAAGAGTACCAAATTTGCCGCTCCAATTCATGACTCTGGCTTGGGGTAGCATATCTGCTGTCGTTATGGCAGAAAATCTTCCCATATGCTTACAGGAAAGTGAGCTGAGATTATTAAACTACTGACAGAATAGTAGTGAAAAATCGCTGAGACATGCATACTTTTTTCCCAATTGTCAGCTGCATCATCGAACGTTTTAGGCTACACTGTGTGATGCAATGATACCTCAGGATATCTTACTCTCTGCCCCTCTGTACGCCGCGGCGATATTTCGAGTTTTACATCCTCTGTGATTTCCATAATTTCCGAAAAACTTACAGCAGAGACACTCTTTACATCGTAAAATGACTGAAAAGCTATATGCTTCTTAATCATCACGTTTATAGACCCTAGTTGAAGTTTTGTCGCAAGAGGTGGATCGAATGTCAAGTGCGTGTGCTCCAAAACACGAATAAATAAAACAAAATAAAAGCATCCAAGCACAACACGATTCACGGTATCGCTTGCCAGTTCTCACCCGGTTCCTTGTTTCAGGCGGCTGCAACTATCAGGAACCCGCGGTTTTGCTTTGTGTAGGCTACTAGAGCTTTCTCTCGTTTCACCCACCCCGTTGCGATTCTCCATAAATCCCAACCGTTCTGAGGTTTGCTTGTTTGGTGCTTATGGACATAAACTAAATGTTTGGCGGCGGAATGAGTGCTTCTGGGGACGAAAGGCTTTCGTGTCCTACCATTAGAACACCGTTGGTGTGGAAGCAATCCATTTATGTAAGTATAGCTAGTCCTATAAAACTATGTCATGTAACGCTTTTGCTACGAGGTACCGTTCTCACCATTGTCCAATGATAGTTTGCCGTTTAAGCACGTGAAGGATCGCAAAATAGGCACGGATGACAGCAAGTTCACTGGAATTATTTGACGCTTTCCATCCTCCCCATTTCGTTCACTAAACCGCAGAAGGAGCTTTAAATGAAGTCGAGACTTCATCAAACTGATACCGTTAGTTCGGGTCATCGTTTATCATCTCATTCATTCGGAAGTTGAGATGAATTATAAAGTTAAAAGCAGTAACAGACATCATCCAACGATCAGTGATAGATGTTTTAGTTTTTAGAACAAATCCTTTGCACATTGCAGCCTTTTCACTTCAAGGTCTCTTTCAACACAGTTATTTGTTAGCCCCCCATGAAGTCACTCGTCTGACTATGGCTCAAGTAATACCGTAGGTCAACGGTTGTCCTTACCGAAACCGCCTTTCACGAATATGGCGAATTAAGGAGATTACTGTTGTTGACCTGACTGTTGAAATTGTATTGTTACATGACATGATGCTTGTCTTATCCATGACAGTTCCTTACTTCACCACCGAATCAAGCTATTATTCTCAATGTAGCAATGCTGAATAATCATCTTAGTACAAAGCTATCATAACAACTCAGTGATATAATAGCAGCTTCATTCCCTTGTTTTTCCGCTGCTTCCCTCTGAATAGAATTTTGATTTTCTGGGGGAGCCATGCTGTCGTAAGCAGCTTCAAAATTCTATTTGTCGATTCGAACATATTAAAAAAACAGCTCAGAGAGGTTGTGAGCGGATAGGGCAGTATTCGATGGCCAAGTCGATGACTTACTCTAACTTCTTTCTTTGAAGAGCAGAGAGGGAATAGATTCTTTCCTGTGGCTCAGCTAATAGTGGAGAATATTTAAGGTTATTCACACCGTGAATATGCCCACATGCACAGCCGCTCCGTTTAGCAAACACCGCTCGAAACTCTAGTAAGCTGGTGAAATAATAATGAAATACTCGAGAAAGTTTTCTATCTGGCAATGTTAATTGCTTTACTTTGAAAGAAAGTGAAAAAATAAGGGCATGACTACATAGACGTTATTCACTGCATTGCACCGAAGCGAAAAGAATAACGAAGGACCGGTTCGCGATGTGTACAACAATCATTAAATGGCTTGAAAGGTAAGGCGGAGAGATGGATGTGCGCTACCTTGCTTTGCGCCTACCTTTTTGGCACCGAGTTAACATGGGGAATAGAATTTGATTACAGAGGCTTACAGAGAATTTTGATAAAATACTAAGGATATTTCTGGTCGATATGATAAATGGCAACACCTAGATGGGTAAACTCTCCGATTTGGCCGGTGAAGGGTTCTTGACATTCAGAGCCAGATCGGAAGAGTTTGGTAAGGACGGCATCTGCGAGAACAGCACGTGTGACAGCATCGAGGGATTCAGCGACGGCATTACTCTGGCGGCGGCAGCTTTGAGGTAGTCTGGAAGGAAAACTTTCAAACTCGAATTTAGTTACGAATGAACAATTTAATCGTGACAGCTTGTAACAGAAATAGGTAACGATTGTAGCAGTTAACTCACAATCAACCAATCACTCAATGGGAATTAAATCCCGAAAAAGAGTTGTCTCCTCGTGCAGCTACTGTAGAAATAATTATTTTCGTGAGTGGTACGACTCCTAATAGTCTAATGCGTACTAGAGAAAATGAATTTGTATCTTGACTTAGCAACTCCACAAATCTCTCGCTGGTAAAAGCCCTTTGGTTCTTTTGAAATTGAGGTTGGAATAGGTAGTAAGCCGAGGGATGGTAGGATGAACGAAATAGGGGTCATATTGCCAGTACAGAGGTTGTGCAGTAGCAGGCCTGACGAAATATTGCTTTTGTGGCGGAAGAGGGTTACAATAATACGCTAAAACTCCTTCTCCCCGAACTCCCACAGCAGGCGCCACTGGTTCCGCGGCGACTACCACTACTACCGTGTCCTTCCACTGGCAATTCC